CGTTTTTTCAATTTACTGTCAACCGTTCAAAACGTTCCAATTTAGTCTTCTATATTTGAATATTTTAGTCCCCACGGTTAGTAAATTTTAAAATTCGCTGATAATAAATTTAGAATATAATCCAATCCTTAATAAATTGGTAAAAGTTTAGAAGAGGAAAAGGACCGGATGGTTTCACTTGTCCCACTTCACTATACATAGATTAGATCTTATATTTCTTGAAAATGTCAACCCACGACTTTGTGGACAGTTGGCCCCCCAACTCTCTGCTCGTTGACTTTGTTCCTTGGGCCGGATCTATTTATTTAGTTTTGGTTTTTTTAAATTTTGGAGATTGAAATTGGCCCATCAAAATATGATCATTCSATCCATTCATTATTCTGACTTTATTTCACCCATAATATTTTTGGTTCCAATTACACGTTGTTGTTAAACTTAAAAAAAAATATTTATTCTAACTATATAAAAAGAAAGTCGAAACGCGTGATTGACATATATCCTCCATATATGAGTTAGAATCCCCGACATGTTATAAAAAGGAAAAGATCAGAATCAAAATAAAAAGAAGACATAATTGAAAATTTTAGAAATTTATAAATAAAATTTCACAATTTAACCTAGCCAAAAATATAATGGTAATAGTTAGAATTAGAACGCGAAAGTTGCAGAAAAATTGGAGGAAGAAGAAGAAGGTGAGCTAGAGCTAGAGCTTGAAATCAATGGCAGTTGCTTCCAATTTCACCTCCCCTCATCTCACTTCTCCGCGCACTCTTTCTTTCTTCTTCAAGGCGTCCGTTTATTCCCTTCCCTTTCACAACTCCTGCACTTTCAAATCCACTTCCATTTCAACGTATAATGCCGTCAATGGCTCCAGCAGGAGCAAGCTCGTTTCGATCAAAGCCGTCTCATCCTCTTCTTCTTTTGGCTCTAGACTCGAGGAGAGTGTCAAAGCTACTATCTCCCAAAACCCAGTTGTGGTATACTCCAAGACATGGTGTTCGTGAGTTCAAATCTCATCCATTCGATCTTAATATTTGTAATCCCTTTTCAATTTTCTCGATGCCCGTTTTTCTGATTTGTGTTGAAATAGGATTCTCATTCTTGGTAATTCTGTTGAAGGTATTCTTCCGACGTTAAGGCGTTGTTCAAGAGGCTTGGGGTGCAGCCACTGGTCATTGAATTGGATGAATTAGGTCTTTTTTCTTATCTTCGCTTTTAATAACACTTCACATTAGATATACTCGCTCTGTAATGTTGTTTTCTTGGTAATTTCATGTATTTGATCTCGTGAATCAAATATAATCCGAGCCCATATGTGAGAATCTGTGTTAAGAACTAAGAAGTTTCTCCCCTTCAGGTCTCCAAGGGCCACAATTGCAAAAGGTTCTCGAGAGGCTTACTGGACAGCATACCGTACCAAATGTTTTCATCGGTTAGTATTGTATTCTGGAATCTTTAGCTATTGCTTGTCATCATAATTATCAATCAATCTTGTATTGCATGTGAGGAAAATATTATCCATTTATGTCGAGGCGATGCTTTATTTTAGGCTGAATATATGTTTTAGTCCCTAATACGCCCTTTTGTTTCAATTTCATCCCTTATATATTGATTTCTTTTTTTAAAATTTAGTCCTTACATTCTCTCAGAGTGAATTTAGGAGGGTTATGAGTGGTGGGCTAAATAAACTCCATGACCTCCCAA